GTGTGAGGTGGGATAGGAGAGACCAGATTTGAATAATGACCTGGAAATTCACACCGTAAACCTGCTTGGCAGTCAGGAATTTTTTTTTTTTTTACAAAAACAAACTAGGTAGCACAGAGACCGCTCAAACTATTTCGGAATGATCATAGCACTTGGAAACCCATTAGTGATGCTTTGTCATGAAAAAAGTGATAACATTACCTGAATTAGGTGCTTATATACAGTACCAGGACAGAGGGTACATTAATGTAGGTGGAAAGTGTCACGAGACAGATATTGTCAAGGGCAATTAAGAGGGGTATAAAAGACTGGATCAAGCGAGAAAAATTAGAGTAGTGCTTAGATAGGCATAGCAAGAAACACTGACAGTCGAGTAATAGTTGTAATGTGAGAGGAAGTAAGTATGTTTCGGAATAAAGTTTCCAGTTATTCCAACTATCCATTTGATCAAAATATTATAATTTCTAATTATTTTTGATTAATTCAAGATTGTTCAGCTTAATCAGTGTCATATATCATGAAAATAACAAACTAATCAAAATCAGTCTTTCCAATTATTACTATTTTTAATTTTTCCAAATATCCAAGTCTTGTGAAAATAATTGATTAGTTGAAAGTAATTGATTAATAGGTTTGATGATTAATCAATTAGTAAATTCTCCTAATTGCCCACCACTATATATAAAATGCCAAAAACAAATGACAAAATATACAAGAAATTTAAATTTGTTTAAACTATACTAAACTAAAAATAAATACAATGTGACACCATCTTTTGAATAGCACCACGCACAAAATTCTATAAAAATATTTCACACTTTGGGTATTCAAGATTCAGACAATTAGAAAAATAACTACTGTATGTGCAGCAACCATTTCTTTATCACAGAACACAATTTTAAATAGAAATACTCTCCTTCATGGTTTGATAATCTTTATTGATGTAAATATATTACTGAAAAATGGAGTTGTTACAAAAACGTATTTTTCAATAAAGTAAACAACTTTTAATATATAAAAACATTAGAGTATAGCAGTACAATCCAAACACTTTTCTCATGCAGTACTTCCCAGAAAAAAAATTTTTAAGAAAATTTTCACTTTTTTCTAATTCTTTTTCAATGAGCTATGAATGCAGGATGGCATTTCTGCTAGATTTTATACTACGTACAGTAATTACTGACAGAAAAACATACCTATTGGAGTCTAAGAGATCATAGCGAGGTTGGGGGTCTGAATCATCATCATTAACATCATAGCTGGCTCTTGGATCCTAGTTAAACAAATAAGCAGATACATAGTAGAGATGTATTTGAAACTTTACCTAGTATGTTTTGTATTTTGACATTAGTTATAGGTAATGAAAACAAATCTATACGAATTTCTGTTATGTATTCAATAAAGCTAGGTGATTAAATCAATTACCTATATCAATATAACTTGGCTACCTATGAGCATCAATAATCAACTGGTGTTTCCAATTATTGCTCTTTTAGATAATCACAACTGTCCAGTAATCAGAATTCTGATTAATTCAATTAATTTCGTGAAAATAATTAAGCAAGTGAAATTCGTGTTTCTGATTTTTACCATTTTTTGATAATTACAGCTGTTAAAGTAATAAAAGTATTGCCATTATGATTTCTCATCATTTTTTTTGATAAACTCAAGGTGGTTCAGTTTAATCTGTTATTGGCATGAATCGCGAAAATGATCAACTCCTCAAAATTAGGGTATCTGATTGTTACTATTTTTGATTATTCCAACTATCCAAGTACTATAAATATTGGAATCAAGTTTCTTTGTTGTTAAACGCAAGCTGCACAATGGGCTATCTGTGCTCTACCCACCATGGGTATCGAAACATGATTAATAGTGTTAAGTTTCTTTTTTAATTTTTTAATCAACTCTGAGAATAATTGATTATTTGAATCTAATCAATTAACAAGCCTAATGATTAATTGATTAGCAAATTCCAATAATCACTCAGCTCTATGTATTCAAGAAGCGTAGTATACAGAAAATGTCAGAATATCTGTATGTATTAGGAAAGAGTATTCATTTGGTTCTTTATTTTTTCACTACATATGATATCCAAGAACAACAGAGCATGAAATAACTTTGCATTTCAAGATTCATCATGTTCCTGTGAAGGACTCAAAAGAAATTTATCAATAGATATTCATACCAAAAACTAATGCCTGTGAAAACAACGAGACATATATCTAGAGCAAAACACATATGGAATTTGATATGTAATAAATGTTGTCATAAAATCTGTAGTTACTTTAGTAATAATTAAATAATTGGTTTGTTTTCTGTATCACTAAATATTAATTTCCACAAATTATCATAAAAATTTAATTGAACAAATTACCTGATCTGTTTACTGTTGTATGATAAACATTTCAATTAATTTTCATGTAGAAAAAAAAATGGCTATCATGATTCAGAAATTATCTTTATGCAATTAAAACTTTCTCTAAAATATTTTTCAAATAAAACATTTACATAAAATCTGTTTAAATGTAGAAAGATGAATTATTTTATATTCTATTCTAGTCTTAATTGAATGGTTGTTTAATTCAAGTTAAATTCTGGTTTTATTCTCTACCAGGTATACTCTTTGCCAAGATGTGGAAAAGAATTGACAGATCTGGGTGTAAAATTGTGAGCAGCACATCCCAATGGAGGAGAAAGTAGTTGGACAGTGATCCTAACCACAATATATTATAATTTCGATCTCCCTGGTGAAAAGAATTTGGGTAAAATAATGGATGTGCCCCAAGGTGTAGACTGGTTAGGGCATGACAGACCATACACGGCAAGTCAAATGATTCCAAAACTAGAACTCCAAGAACAAACATCGATGTGAGGGAGGGACAAGGATCATATCATTGATAAGTAAACTACAATCCACAAATCAACCACAAGGAACCGACATCCATGCGAGAGTAGAAAAGAGGATCATACCATCTTCACCTCCAGTTCAGCCAACCGGAGGGAGAAATCCCGCCACCAATCTGTCAACAGGGCACATGTGAGCAGAGTGAAAAAATATACATATATATCCCACTCAAATCAAACAGACCAGCACCACCTCAAATGATCGACATAAAGACATTGAGGGGTAGCACAAAAGAAAGATGTAGAGCAACCAACAAGTGTACCTACCATGACCAACAACACTGGAGTAGTGCACTTGAAGCAAATTGAATGAGGGACAAGGGATACCCTGAACATATGTGTGCGGACTTATGTTGATTGGTTCAGTTCTAAATCCAAAACTCAACCACCGAGAACTGATATCCATGCAGGGGTAGGATGAGGGATCCCAGTCACATTACATGTGTGAGGACATGATGTTGATTGGTTCAACTCTAAATCCAAAACTCAATTTCCGTGTGAGGGTAGGATTAGGGACCACAGTCATTATGATGGCACATTCCAAAGCTACAACATCCCCTCGGAACAATGCAGAGATGGAGTGTCCATTTGAGGAGATTTCGTCATCTACACTAGCAGAACATCACCACCCTACTCTCAACCAAATGGAGTATTTATTGTTTATATTGTATACCTCTCATTCAGGAGGATCCCTCCATGATTCACCACCCCAGCAGCTTGGAACTGGAAAGCTGTAAAGACTCTCCTACTCCACCAGAAGAAACAGGGTTAAAAATGCAAAGGAGAGTCCAGAGGAATGTTCACACCAGAGACAGTGCAATGGTTGAACATGAACCCTATCTTGTAAATTAGACCAAACCTGATTTATTCAATCTAAGGAATAGCAGGGATGGGTAGCAATCTCCTTCTGCTTTACCCATGAAGACCATGGGTTAGTAAGGTCTGGAATGAGCATAGTTATGAAGCAAAGATATCATGGGGAATAATCTATAAGCAATTGTATGGAACATCCCATCTCTAGTTTATGTGATTGTACTGAACAGTGTGCATTTTGTGACAATGAAAATTATGAAAGTGAAGTCAACATGGCCTTACAGTGCGGGTTTTAGTACAATTCTAAGTGATTGAAGTATACTTGGACAGGCACCACTTGCCACACAGAAGGATCCTGGTCAAAACATGGGACAAACCCGTGAAAAATAACATATATAACAAAAGAAAGAAAACTTACCCAATTACAGTCTCACCAAAGAGTGAAGGATGGTGAGAGGTGGAAGAAACAGCTACTCAAAGCAGATAATGGGAGATTAATGAAGAAGAAGACAAGGAACAAAAAACAAATCAAATCATAAACTGAACCAAGTGGGTAAGGGAGGAAGGGAAAAATATCATGAACAGAGGAGTGTTGCAAGGGAATGAAACTGCAAGAAATGGAGTCAACAGAAAGAATCCTTGAAAGCAATGAAACAACCCATAGTATGTATGGGACAGAGAAGGTCATCTGGATCTAACTGAGAATAAAGGTGGAAGATTACAAGAAATGAAAATGGTGAAAAGAATATTCGACATGAGCACCCAAAGTGTAGGTTAGTAATACTGATCCAGAACAAAATGAATATACTGAGCCAAAACAGCCTAGAAAACCAGATTTGTGCTGGCCAGGAAGGATCAATTAGAAGGACCTAACCTGGAGTGACATGATAATCAAAATCACCTTGAGAAGAAAACTGACAGAATGAAAAAAACTAAAGTTATAAACTGGATCTAATCCTGTCTGAACGTATCGACAGCTAGGGTAAGTTGATGATGATCTGGAGACCAAAAACAAAAGAGGTAACTTGGAATCGAGAAAGAAGTCAAACACTTCCCATGGAGGAGTACCCCAAGGAGACAGAGCCACTAAAAACTTGAGGACCAAGAGGCCATTCCTTGAGAGAAAGTGTCAGGACTGGAAAGGCGATCTGCAATGTGGGACAAAAGCACCTGGAACATGACACATCAGTAGACATATGTCAAGTGTATGGGTTCAAAAAAGGAGATCCACTGTGTACCACAAAAGGAACAAGAATGAGTGCCCCCTTGGTGAGTAATATAAGCCACAACTATCAAACAGTCAGAATGAAACATGATTAGTCAAATCCAGATAAGAGGAAGATGGACTGCCAGAAGTGACAGGGTATTAACATGGTAAGACTTTTCGTACGTAGACCATTGTCCTGAAGCCTCTTGCTGATCAACCCACACCCACAACTTTGGAGATGAGCATCATAAAAGAGAAACAAATCTGGACAAGGAGGGGAGAAAAACGGTAAACCCGATGACGTAGGGGATATGTTGAATCACCAACGCAGTTAGTCGAAGAGGGAAGTGGGAAAGTTAAGAGGTGAATCCAAAGGAACCGTAGCAAGAAACCATGAGTTGTGCAGCATCTCTTGAAAAGATTGCAAATGTGCCAGACCCAAAGGGAGAAGTGCTTCCATACAAGCCACGTTCCCCAATGCGTTATTCCAGTAACATACTACAAAGATGGATGTATTCCACTTAACATTAGTTAATCAGTAACATACCACAAAGTTGGATGTATTCCATCAAACTTTACTTATTCCAGTAACATACCACAAAGTTGGATGTATTCCATCAAACCTTACTTATTCCAATAACATACCACTTAACCTTACAAATAAATTATGTTACAATGTTTACTACTTACTGCTTATTAAATACAACAGAATTTGTTAGAAATTACACTACTTCTTCGATAAAAGTAAAGCTCATAAATTCGCACTACATCTTCACAAACAGTTTCTTCTATTGTATTTAAAACATGAATTTCATTAAGTTCTGTACAAAAGTCAACAACATTAGTTATTTGGTTATAAACTAAGTAATGTCCTGCTACTTATCCTTTTAAACATTAGTTTTTTGGGTATAAACTTGGTAATGTCATGCTACTTATCCTTTTAAACATTAGTTATTTGGTTATAAACTTGGTAATGTCCTGCTACTTATCCTTTTAAACATTAGTTATTTGGTTATAAACTTGGTAATGTCATGCTACTTATCCTTTTAAACATTAGCTATCTAGTTATAAACTATGTAATGTCCTGATACTTATCCTTTTAAATATTATCTATTTGTTTATAAACTTGGTAATGTCCTGCTACTTATCCTTTTAAACAGTAGTTTTTTGGTTATAAACTTGATGATGTCCTGATATTTATTCTTTTAAATATTAGCTATTTCTTTATAAACTTGGTATGTACTGCTACTTATCCCTTTAAACATTAGTTATTATTATTATTATTAGTTATTATAGTTATATTAAAAAGTGGGATCCATTACACCTAACCTTACTTGTTCCAGTAGCACATTAAAAAGTGGGATCCATTACACCAGAAATCACTGGTCGTTGATACAGTAAAGCAGTTCAGTGTACTTAAAACAATTTTTAAAAGAATTAAAAGTGTAAACATAAAAGTCATGATATTCTTTTAGTTGCATAATCAGTAGCAAAAATGTTACTAGAACAAGTAAGGTTAGGTGTAATGGATCCCACTTTTTAATATGTTACTAGAACAAGTAAGGTTAGGTGTAATGGATCCCACTTTTTAATATGTTACTGGAACAAGTAAGGTTAGGTGTAATGGATCCCACTTTTTAATATGTTACTGGAACAAGTAAGGTTAGGTGTAATGGATCCCGCTTTTTAATATGTTACTGGAACAAGTAAGGTTCAAACAAATAAACAAACTTCCTCTTTTATATATGTATAGAAATATTATATAGCTAGTATTAGCTATAGTTAATAAGAGCTTAACTTAACTTAAAGAGGATTTTGTTTGCTATAGGAAACCAAACAGTTGAACTTACAAATTTTAAAATAACTTCACAATAGCCAGTTTTTTACAAGGCATTTAATGGTGCTATTTATTTTGTATTTGGTGTAGTATTTAATGATGAAATTGGCAATTAATGATAATTGCACCATTTTTTTGTAATATTTGTTTTTGTAATAAACATACAAACATAAGCACGTTTTGCACATAGGCGTTATGGTGGGAGACACTCAGATCACCTTGCTCTCAATTCAGTATTTCCAAAAACAGTTTTCTTTAAATAGTGCTAAGTGGTTTCATAAGTGATTTAGTAATTTGTGAATTGCAAATTATTGTTTAATGATACAGGTGATTATGCCACCCAAGAAACGCCCTTTCTACGGAAAGTCTTCTGCCACTAAAAGAATGCAAGCACAAATAGCAGCTGAAACAGAAGAAGAACGCAATCAAAGACTTCAAGCACAAGCTGCAAGACAGGCTGCTCAAATACAGGAAGAGAATTTGGAATAACGTAAAGTTAGACTTCGAGCTCAAGCTGAAAGGCAGGCTATTCAAAGACAGCAAGAAACTGTTGAACAGCACAAAGCCAGAGTTCAGTCAGAATCATCAAGTCAAACTGAATATAGACAACAAGAAACTTCTGAACAACATCAAACCAGACTTCAAGCACAAAAATTAAGACATATAACTTACAGAGAGGAGAAACATGATGTACGACTTCAGGCTCAAAGAACAAGACAAGCTCAAACACAATCTAATTTCAAATAAAGCTTTGTTTGATTAAATGCTTTTTTATTTCTCGCATCACAGCTTTTATCTACTTACTGAATAATTTGCTGAAAAAAATACTGATCTATACATTTCAAATCTAAATTTTCACTGTGCAACGCCGAGTAACTCAACTAGTATATATATATATATAGAGAGAGAGAGAGTACTACACTGCATCATTAAATTAAATAACATTAGTTTTTTGCTACTTTCTTTGCCATATTTACATTGTTGTACCTTTCCTATCTAAGTCTTATTATTATTATTGTTGAACTTTTTCACATTCACAACCTTGCCTTTTACGGCAGATTTCTGTTTACTTATTGATTCATACTCCATGTGTTTTGTTAACTGATAAGGATTAGTTAAAATGAGAATAGTTTTGTTAAACACACCTCATAGTATATATTATATTACATTTAACAGTCTTATATTTTCATTACAGCTACAGTATTCTAGTTACTGATTGTACAATTCAGGTATTCATTTATTTTCTTACTTCTTAATTTCTGTTTTCCTAAACATTAGTTTTCGGCTGTACTCTTGGTAATGTCCTACTACTCAACTCAACATCTAAACAGTAACATGTCTTGTAGTAATTTATCTCATATGTTATGGTTCTCTAAAGTTATACTGTTGTAGCTGTTTGATTGGTTTTAATTAGCAACAAGTCATTTTTAGTAAAAACTGAGCACAGTTATATTTATACAAGTTATACTGATGTTATAGTGTTCAACAAACTAGTGACAATAACATCCAGACTTTGTGTTTTGTATGAAAGTTATACTTATCATTATTTTATTGTTACTTTCATTAATATTATTGCATATATTTTATCACTCTAAATTTGTAATTTTATTATTATTATTATATTTTTATTACAGAGGTTGTTTTCCATTTTTAGTTTAATAAGTTTATCTAAGATTAACCTAAGTCTCCTAAGCTGTGAGATTCTCATGAGATATTATTGTGAATATGACTAAACATATTGTTGACAGTGAGGATACCCGACTATTGAAATGATGTATTTTAATAGGTATAAGTAAAAGCAAACATAAAGGACATTTGATTAGCTATAATCATTATCAGATAACATTTTTCGTTTAACTCTATGAAGATAGGTTGCTCTGAAGATTAATAATACATACATGTTCCAGTAACATATAAGAAAGTGGGATACATTTCACTTAATCTTACTTCTCCATTAACATGTCACACAGTGGGATGTGTAAAACCATATCTTGTTCTAGTAACATGTTACACAGTGGGATGTGTAAAGCCATATCTTGTTCTAGTAGCATGTTACACAGTGGGATGTACATCCAACTGTGTCACATGTTACTAGAACAAGATATTTACACATCCCACTGTGTAACATGCTACTAGAACAAGATATGGCTTTACACATCCCACTGTGTAACATGTTACTAGAACAAGATATGGCTTTACCTTTTTAACATGTCGTTAGAAGAAAATATGGCTTTACTACTAGATCAAGATATGGCTTTACACATCCCACAGTGTTGCATCTTACTAGAACAATCTATGGTTTTACACATCCAACTTTGTAACAAGCTACTAGATCAAGATATGGCTTTACACATCCCACGATTTTATTCTATATCATACATCTATGTACAATTATGGATAAAGAACATCTACTAAAAATACATCTTTCTAAAAAATTCAGGCAAGAAAAAATGTCAGAGGCTATATCATTAACAGATATTTCTGACACTTATTATTACTACATCTTACAAACCAAATTAATTAAGATATGGCTTTACACATCCGACTTTGTAACATGTTACTAGAACAAGATATGGCTTTACACATCCAATTTTGTAACATGTTACTGGAATAAGATATGGGTTTATACATCCAATTTGTAACATGTTACTGGAATAAGATATGTGTTTATACATCCCACTTTGTAACTAGCAAAGTGAATGAGAGAAAATCATGAACTACAAAATACTGATTCAAAAATATTATCATTATGTAATGCTACATTATGTTGAAGATGACAGTTCAAAGTAAATTCACAAAGAACAATTAAATTTACATATATTTAAGAAAGTATTACAAAAACAAAGCACTGAAACCTAAATATGTAAGCATGAGCACTATTTAAAACATACATAGTTATGAATAAGGTCAGGGTGGTCTTTTTCTAAGCCATCGTCCAAAATTGTCACCACCACACCTTTCCCTGTAGCTCCCATCTTCCATGCTGGTTGTACATTCATATCTAGACCTTGTCCTCGGTTCTAAAATACAAATAGTGAGTGTAATTTCAATATAATCTAGGTAGAAAATAAAGAATACAAGTAGATTTGCAATCTGAATTTCATCAGTAGGACAAAAAGTATTCTTATGTTCTGACCTCTCTGTACAAAGGCACATACACCCATATGCTTAAATAAAAAAAAATCACATGATTAATTTCAAATATTTATTATATTTCAATTATAGATGCAATGATCAATCAAAATATGTTTGTGCTTACATACTGTAACTTTCAAATTAACCATTTCCGAAGACCATATAACAAGAAAGGGTATTATATTTAACCTTTGAGAATAATACAAAATGCAAATTTTCAGTCCTACATTATACTGGCACACAAAACCTTAAGTTTTAGTACATCAACTTAAAATATCTTCTTATTAAAGTAAGCTACCAAAGGACTAAATATATACTGTAGCTAATTTAATATACTACAAGTATGCATTGCCATAAAACAAAAATTCATAATGATTACAGCACACCTAGTCATCAGTTGGATATGTATTATTACACATTGTATCCAATACTGTTAATGAAATTAACTTTAAAGGCAGGATGAAATACAACTTTATGTACAAGACACTTAAATTTAGTAAAAACATATTCAAATAAAACTAGTAGATGGCTTCTGGTTCCTTGTCAAGACACTAGTATGAACCAAACTTCTCCATTATCCTCCCTAACAATGGTTAGAGATCAATGAAAGCCCAATAACCAGCTCCAACAGATTGTAGATTGGCCAAACATCTTAGGCAAACAGCTCAACACACATTTTTGTTTACCTATAGTTGGCAGCAAGATGATTGAGGTGTACACCAAAAAACTGTACAAATAACAAAATAATATGAATAGCAAGACTATTCAATAAATAATAATGAATGTTATATCTTAAAAATAATCAAAGTAAATGCAATGAAGAGAAATAACTGAAAAATACTATGAATTTTCAATGAGCAATTAACTTTAAGTCCACACCTTTTCCTGCACATATAATAATCTTAAAAAACAGACAAAAGTAATAAATAAAGCTAAACTCTACAAACTAGCCAAAACACTAAGATATAAAAAACAATCATTGTAAGAAAATTAAGCAATGAAGTTACAGCATTGGTTAAAAGAACAACCAGTTACTAACAGAAACTCACCTAACTAAACTAATGAGATAACAATATATTACTGTTACAACAGCGGAAGTCACGCGACTCTGGGAGCATGCTCGCTGGAGTTTCTAAAAGAATCCTGACTTATCGAAGAACCTTGCGAATGTCCCAGTGTTTGCTAGACACCCTCTTTTTTACTATATAACCCTGGGAAAGAAAGCCAGCAGGAGTTATAGATATGCAGACAGATTGAAGATATGGATAATGGAGTCAAGCGAACAGTAGACACCGTAAGTAAAGTGTGTGAACCACTGTGATTTATAGCATGTGTCATAAAGGTTGTTAAGTTTAAAGTGACTGTGGAAATTCTGTGTATTACAAAGTTGTATCGAGAAAGAATAAATTAGTTTTAATTAAGCAAGGACTTGTATCGCTGAAGTTTCTCAGAGCGGAAATTAAAAAATGAGCAGATACGCAACATTACATAAGAAACTATTACACACCTTACAGTAAATTACTGATAAGAGCAAAACTAATGATGACTGCCATATTAAAGTTATTCATTATTACTTTAAAATGAAAAAATATACACAAAATTTAGTTAAGAAGATACATTATAATGGTGTGTTTGAAAAGGTTGTGATATTCATTAAATTTATTTATCAGACATAATTTATCAATTTGAACAATGCATCCTAAGATTAAAAGACCAGTGGTCTGGCAGCCTCCAGACATTATTTATCTATCTCAACAATACATCCTAAGATTAAAAGACCAGTGGTCTGGGGGCCTCCAGACATAATTGATCTATCTGAACAGTGCATCCTAAGACTAAAAGACCAGGGTGCTGGGGCATCAGGTTTCCTCAAGAAACCTTAAACTTCTAGATGCTCTCTAGACATATTTTGAGGGTTAATTGGAGTTCATTTAAGAGTATGAAAGTTCAAATAAAACACTCAAAAACAACAAAAAAGTATATACATTCACTTATCTTAACTTTCTTTTATCTGTTTGGAAGGAACTATATAGAGTAAAATGATTGTGACTATCTATTTTTCTCTTTTCTTTTATTACAGTGGGCATCATTGGCATTCACCATTAGCTCAGGCCTTCCTAGCATAAATTAATGTTTCTCAATATCTTGATCAATATGGGGCTACATAGATTAATTATATGTAAATTACTGAAATTAGGATGAACTTTAGAAATCAGATGCATCCTATCACAGAGGTCTGCATGGGCCTGGCTCGCAGGCTGGGTAGTAACAAAAAAAAAAGATCCGTGTTCGGGCTTGGATGAGATGACATTTCTCCAATTTATTTATAAAATATTAGGTTTCATCAGGCTTTTTGCTAGATTTTTTCAACTTTGTTTAAAAAAATTTTCAAACTTGTTTCTAGAAAAATGGGAATCTACATCCATAGATCCAGTCAAATAATACTTATTTGGAGGTTTGATTATTCTTGTACTTAGTATTAAATGCACCACTTTAAGGAACATTGTAATCCTTCACATACTGTCTCACACTCCTTTTGTATCAACAAAATTCCTTAAAGTGGTGCATTTAATACCAAGTATAAGAATTATCAAACCTTCAAATAGGTCATATTAAATAGAACCATAATTTCACGTTAATATTTAAATTATTACCTATATATTCTCAATCTTAGCAGGTTGGAACATAAAAACAAGCCATATTGATCTTCCCACGGCCAGCCAATACTGCCCATCTTGTGAGGAATATTTTTTTGGAGTTTTGGGCCCAAGTCAGGTTTAGCGTGAAGAAAATCGGGCATACTTGTCAGACTTGGGACAGATAAATGTATAAAATTTTGGCTCGTGCAGACCTCTATCCTATCATCCTGGACCTAGAGATTTACAATAAACTTAAAACATGATGCATCACCAATACATCATGTAGTATTGCACCTAGGCCTACAGTAGTTCTACCTTTTATTTTGTAGATATGGGTATTTCTAATGAAGTCACCCAGAATGATCATAATGGGAACACTCTTCCATTTCAATTTCTGCAATACTTTATTGATATCAAAAACAACTATTTCTCAAGTCAGGCCCAATTCCATTTGCTCTTCACTGACACATCTCTTGACAACCTTCCTTGGTGTGGGGCTCATTGTCAATATTGTATTCCCATTCAGTATACACACTTAAGCACTTAACAGTTAACCTCTGCAATCCAATCATTCGTGGTCAGAAACTTGTGTTTCTCTTCATCTCGCTTCCAGAAATAGAATTAATTCACACTTCACTTTAAACAGTTTTAAGGCTTACATGGGTACAAGTTGACAATTTTAATTCTTACTAAAGACGATGCCACAAGAGATGGGAAAAGCTGTGAGGAAACATGGAAAGGAAGAGTAGGAAGGAGACCTTCGTTGAGTTGTTAGATTGCTGCAGGAGTTTTCTGTTGGCGAGACACATGCATCTGTTGATCCATGTGGCTTGGGAATGCTTGAGGTGTGACATCAGATGGTCAAAGAGTCATGTGATATATAACTGAGCATCTGTTGATCCATGTGGCTTGGGAATGCTTGAGGTGTGACATCAGATGGTCAAAGAGTCAAGTGATATATAACTGAGCAGGGAGACGCAAATTGAGCTTCTTCGCTCCTGTTTAAAATACTAAAAATGTTTTATTTTAAAATTATGATTAAATTTTGAACATTGAAAATTGACGTTAACAGTATACTTGAACGTTACATTTTGCAAGAGACGGACCTTTTCAGGGCTGGGATCAGTGGATCCAAAGCTTGCTGGAAAATTTTGCTGTGGGAAAATTGGAGTATCCTGAGAAAACCCACTTTCACTGGTTGAGCACTGATATATTCTACACTACCAATGCCCGAGGCTAATAAAAAGATCAAGGCATGTGTGGTTAGTCATTTTTATTCATGGCATTTATTATGTTGAGTGGTGTAAGGTATCACTGCCATGTTTTCGGGGTAGCGGATAATATTGGAAATTGATTAGTTAATGGGGTTTGGTTGACAGATTTCTTGAAGTAATTTTTCGCTAGGGTTGTGAGCCGTGTTCCGATTTCTGGAATTTCACTAATTTGTTGCAGATATTTATGTGGTGTGTATTGGAGGAGCCTGTATGCTATTCATGTTACTAGATTTTGAGCCCTTTCTAAAGTATTGTATCGATTGTGGGACATGCTGATCGTTATCATTGTTTCGTATCTGCTCGTTTGTTAATTTCCGGTATAAATTCTTTCCTAGGAACTTCAGCGATACAAGTCCTTTCTTAATTAAAACTAATTTATTCTTTCTCGATACAACTTTGTAATACACAGAATTTCCACAGTCACTTTAAACTTAACAACCTCTATAAATCACAGTGGTTCACACACTTTACTTACGGTGTCTACTGTTCGCTTGACTCAATTATCCATATCTTCAATCTATCTGCATATCTATAACTCCTGCTAGCTTTCTTTCCCAGGGTTATATAATAAAAAAGAGGGTGTCTCGATAAGTCAGGATCCTTCTAGAAACTCCAGCATGCATGCTCCCAGTTTCGCGTGACTTCCACTGTCATAACACTGCCCCTTCCTTAGTATTGTTCCTCCCAAAAAATAGCCACTGACATTAAACCAATAGATAATTAACATTAACTTAATTAAATGTACAGAATTTACAAACACAAAATTAAAATACAACAAAGTCTCTTGATTTTAGAGGATGTTTCTTATTTTGTACTGGTCTCTGTCTTATTGGCTTCTGCTTTACATGGGATTTATCTGCTCCATCAGGAAATGTCCCATTATTGGTAGAAGTCACATCAGTGGTAATAACTTCATTAACAGCTTCACTGTTTTCCTTCTCAAAACCAGGTAGAGTTTCTTCTTCAACAGTA